TCTGCAACTTTCGAAGGTAAATATATATTACTTTTTTAGTATCATTTTTTAATTTCTAATGTGTTACTTTACAATTTATCTTTTTTTTTCAGTAAATTACCTTTTAATACATTCTAATTATTGTTTTTTTTTCGTCACAGTTCTCGGTTAGAAGTGTAGAATAGTATTGATGTAATAATAATATACAGGGTGTTACAAAAAACATGTGCCATCTCGTGGGGAGATTCCCCACGTAAAAATAAGTAAGTAATATACTTGGAAGAAAATTATAATAAATCGAAAACAAAGCAGAATTGGACCTATGTTTATATGAAAAATAAATCTTATTTTTACTTGAGGAATCTCTCCACGAGAGATGACACATGTTTTTTGAAATGCCCTGTATAATCAATATTAATTTTTGACAACAAGTTTTATGTCAATTTTTAGTTAACGACATCTAGAGATTTACCTCGCCAAAATTATCATTCCTAAGCAGTCTTTGATGCCGGTTTTTTTTCGATCACACTTACAATAAAAAATCGGTGACAAATAAAGTTGGTAACTTTATTTGACACTTCTTGTCAAAAGTCAAAGTAAGAAAAGTACAACATTGTGACGTGCATACCAACTTTTGATTTTCCTATAGAATTCATATTCACAGATTATTTTTGCAGCAAATCAAAAATCACGGTATACCTATGAATGTGAATTCACGTTTTAAACCAACTCTAGTGACACCCTTTGTTGCTTATCTCGTTAAATTGGATGTCTTAATTTATATTTTACAGGTAGTCCGCCTTCGACAAACAAACTGCACCGTTCAGAAACAGTTCCGGCCGCTACAGTGGCGTCCAGCCTGGCAACTCTAGGGTCCAGCTTCAAAATTAGTTTCAGGTACTCGAAATTACTATACGTATACATTTTTGTGTTGCTATTATAGCCCGAATTGCCAGTAATTTTTAACTAGTTATTCAGAAAAATATTTTTTGGTTTGAATTTTTTTAACAATTTTAAATATACACCACATAATCGATTATTCCACAATTCAAAGGATTTTAATTCTATAAGTTGCTATAGCTTTAACCACACATATTTCAGCACCGATGCATGCCTTGTTTGCTAGTTTAGATGTTTTATTTTAGCCGTTTAGCTACGCAAAGGTTATCTTTAAGAAAGGCCAACCTTAAGGTACCGCAGCAGCTGCTAGAAACCGCTATTACTAACCTAAGGTAAGTGTAGATGTTCTTCATTATTGAAAGTGTTTTTACGGGCCAAATACCGGGTGTTTTTCAAAAGTGGCTCACTCCCATTACTTATTTTTTTTTTCAGATAAAAATACGAGATTTGTTATCTTACGATATGAACTAAATCAGGAATGATTGACGTATTCAATTAGTTTCAGTCACTTCCTGTTTCACCAGAAATGACTATAACTTTTAATTTTGAATTGGTATAGTTAGTATTTTTTTGCTATATTTGATACAAAATGACATTCTGACTAGAATGACAAATCATATGTCATCCTTTGACATTTGCGCTTAAAAAAAGTATTTTAAATTTCAATCTAGAGTGCCATGGCTGTGTTAAAACCCAATTTTTTTAAAATGAAATGAAGCTGCCTCATTACCATATTTAAAAAATCATTTTTTACGAATAATTTGATACCACATACTATTCATACCTTTGAATAAGAAGACTAAGGAAGGAGCATGGTGGGCGGAAAAAGGACTCTAGGGTGGGGATCCTTGACAGTTCTGTTTGACGATTCATTTGACACATTTGAATTTGATTTGAAATTTTGTGGATTTGTCAGTCTTTACGGAGCTTATTTTATGTTATTTATTATTTATTCTACTACTGATAGTTGTATAAAGGTAGTAAATCTAGATGGAAATTGTGGCAAAACTTAAATTAACAGTGACACTATTGCGATTTATCGAAAAATACTGTAAACTAGTTAGTTGTGTAGCGTGCGGTAGATCTCGGTCAAAAATTGAGTGAAATAATGGAACAACTTTTCGCTAGTAAGTGACTATATAATATACATACGTGTAGTAAACCGATCATTTATAAAACTCACTTAAAATTAATTAATTATATATTTTTTCATGCATTTTTGCTTTTATTTACTACTTGTCAAAGATTAGATGTTAAAGAATTTAGATACGTCAATTTGACTTACCTGTTTCAGTAGCGTATCGGATGTTTATTAGAATTATATATTTTTATAATAATTTTAGTAACTACCAACATTTACTGACAACGTAAAATAAAAAAAAATATTGAGTTTACCCCACGTTTACCCTACATCATAGTTTACATTTTTTAAATAAAATTAGAACGGCACTGATAAACCGGAATTTAAGTCGGCCATATTTTAGGCCCATCGCGGTGGACCTAAGATTTTTGATATGCTCCTTCCTTAGTCTTCTTATTCAAAGATTCATACGTACCACATCATATTCGAGTCAAACTGTTGTTATGAAGACATCCATTACACTCATCAAAAATTGTAGTCATTTCCGGTGAAACAGGAAGTGACCGATAGGGTCAGGTAGGTAAGACTTATAGGGGGGAGCCACTTTTGAAATTTACCCCGTATATATTATATTATTTAATGAGTTTAATCTTGGTAATAAATGATTTTTAGTAGCGATGAGAACTATCGAATGAATTAGACTATCGAATGGTTACTGAATGAATGATTTCAACTATCGAATGGTTTTATTTGAATAAAATCATTCATTCATTTGTATACTAAAGCATATGTGACAACCTCGCCGTGCGACTAAATGGTTATCGTTGCGCCACGAGCCACGACTATCGAAGAGAAGTGTCTAGCCCTAGCAGTCAACTATTAAGCTTGACCAATCAGGTTGGTTAGCGAGGTTATTTGGAGTGTGTTAATTCATTTGTGTTTGTCAAAAACTCTAACGTGATTGGTCGGGCTTAATAGTTGCCTGCTAGGGCTAAACACAAGTCTATCGAATGCTTTTGATAAATGAAATTTAGTATTCGTTTGATTTTTGTGTGCGTCAGTGCATTATTAGTTCTTCCAAATTTTTATAACTTCGCCTTGTAAATACTATGCTATTTTTGCGTTTATTAAAATATTTAAAATACTAAAATAGTAGTTTTTTTTAATTGACGATTATGTGCGAAGTGGTCAAAATTTTTCCGAAAATTTGTGTGATTTTCCGTAGCCCGATCTTTCAATTATTTGATTTTATATGGTACATTATGGTTAGGTTAGATTGCATTTTTTTAATGGGAAATTTTTAGAAGTAGCAATTAAGTAATGTCTAATCATGTAATCATATTTAAGTAATGTGGTTAAGTAAATGTGGTTATCGAACTCAAATTTTGGGGTGAGAAAATTAAATTGAAAGTTTTACACGTGCCGATTTAAAAAAAAAGTCAACGATGTTTGTTTTTTGTCTATGCTAATTCTCTTACATGTAGTTTTTTGCGAAGAAATATTTCATTTATTTTTTAAAGTAAATGCCAGTAAAAGTAAATATTGTTTTTAAATAGTAATATAAAGTAATAAAAAGTAATATAAATAATTTTGATTTCTAATTTTTTATTTATATTTTTCTTCCATTACACTGCATGCTTAGAAAATTAATAAATGTTTATATTTCATGATTTTAAAATTTGTTGTTAATATAACAAATTATTTCTGTAATTATTATTATTTAATAAACCAACGTTGCCATTTAGAGACTATATTATTTTTAAACAGGATCTAATATAAAAACTTTTGACTTGTATTTGTTGTTTATATTTTGCTACTACTTAAAAAAAAATGTTTATATTATTAAATGATTTTAAATTTTGTTGTTAATAGGTATAACAAATTATTACTGTTATTATTACTTATTAAACCAGTCTTTGCTTAAAAACATTAAAAATCATTTTCCTACATCCAAAATAAAAAGTATTATTGCAGTGTAACAACAGAATATTAGTAAAAAAATGCAAAATATATAGACATACTATCCCTAACTAACTAATGCTAAGGAATAATATTCTTTGCTAATACCAACTAATACGAATATATGGCAACAGCGCCCTTCATAATAATGTATTTTCTGTGTAAATACTAGCACATCAATAAAAAAAATTAATGTGTCCTTATTGTGGTCCTTTTCTTTATTTGACAGTTTATATTTTATTAAAATCGATCCTGACGAATAAATGAATTTGATAAATGAATGAATTTTATAAATGAATGGTTTTTGTTACCGAATTACTAGAATACAATATTTCAAGGCAGATGACGCACCTATTCGATAATTTTTATTCGAATAGTTTTCGACGAATGTTTTCTTCCTAGCTATCGAATTATTCGAATGAATTGCAACTATCTAATGTATTCATTCGATAGTTCCCACTACTAATTTTTAGTGTCTGTTTTTATGAATATTTTCGTAAATTAGATTAGAAAATATTATGTAATTTTTTTCTATAAAAAATATAACAGTCAAAGATATAACAAATGTCTTTGATCACACATACAGATCGTACTATATAAACTTTTAGTCACGTGATTAAGCTTGACCGGTCCAGCGTTTCCCACTTTTATATATTTTCTTTTAATCAAAATATTTTGGGAAACCATAATTAATTATAAATATATAAACAGTTATTATTTGCATCAACAAAGCTCACCTTCTTAAGAGCACTTAAGTGACATAAAGGGCCATTACTACTAGCGATGGGAACTATCGATTGAATTAGACTATCGAATGGTTACTGAATGAATGATTTCAACTATCGAATGGTTTTATTCGAATAAAATCATTCATTCATTTGTATACTAAAGCATATGTGACAACCTCGCCGTGCGACTAAATGGTTATCGTTGAGCCACGACTATCGAATGTTTTTGATAAATGAAATTTAGTATTCGTTTGATTTTTGTGTGCGTCAGTGCATTATTAGTTCTTCCAAATTTTTATAACTTCGCCTTATAAATACTGTGCTATTTTTGCGTTTATTAAAATATTTAAAATACTAAAATAGTAGTTTTTTTAATTGACGATTGTGTGCGTGTGCAGGTGGTCAAAATTTTTCCGAAAGTTTGTGTGATTTTCCGTAGCCCGATCTTTCAATTATTTAATTTTATATGGTATATGGTCTATTTTTTAATGGGAAATTTTGAGAAGTAGCAATTTTTAAGAGAGATGAGATGAACTTACAATTAATTTTAAAAATACATATTTGTATTTTAGATGTTTTAATAATATGAATTAGTTGAACTTAATAATTATATTAATTAATGTGGTTAAGTAAATGGTTATCGAACTCAGACTATGGGGTGAGAAAATTAAATTAAAAGTTTTACACGTGCCAATTTAAAAAAAAGTTAACGATGTTTGTATTTTGTTTATGCTAATTCTCTTACATGTAGTTTTTTGCGAAGAAATATTTCATTTATTTTTTAGTAAGTAAATACCAGTAAAAGTAAATATTATTATTATTAAATAGTAATATAAAGTACCGAATATAAATAATTTTGATTTCTAATTTTTATTTATATTTTCCTTGCATTACACTGCACGCTTAGAAAATTAATAAATGTTTATATTTCATGATTTTAAAATTTGTTGTTAATATAACAAATTAGTTCTGTAATTATTATTATTTAATAAACCAACGTTGCCACAAAAAATTGAGAGACTATATTATTTTTAAATAGGATCTAATATAAATAATTTTGACATCAAATTTGTTGTTTATATTTTGCTACTACTTAAAAAAAATGTTTATATTAAATGATTTCAAATTTTGTTGTTAATAGGTATAACAAATTATTACTGTTATTATTATTTATTAAACCAGTCTTTGCTTAAACACATTAAAAATAATTTTCCTACATCCAAAATAACAAGTATTATTGCAGTGTAACAACAGAATATTAATAAAAAAATATAAAATATATAGACATACTATCCCTAACTAACTAAGCCAAACAATAATATTCTTTGCTAATATCAATTAATACCGAGACTAATACCAATATATGGCAACAGCGCCCTTCATAATGTATTTTCTCTGTAAATACTAGCACCTCAATAAAAAAAAATAATGTGTCCTTATCTTTATCTGACTCCAAAATAAATCAAAGATGCCGGCTTCTTTCATAGCATTGCCACCGACCGGGTTTTCGGAAAGAAACCTACGTCGCCGGGCGACAACTAAAATCCAGTTAATATTTTATTATAATCGATCCTGACGAATAAATGAATTTTATAAATGAATGAATTTTATAAATGAATGGTTTTTGCTGCCGAATTACTAGAATACAATATTTCAAGGCAGATGACGCATCTATTCGATAATTTTTATTCGAATAGTTTCCAACGAATGTTTTTTTACTAGCTATCGAATTATTCGAATGAATTGCAACTATCGAATGTTTCGATAGTATTCATTCGATAGTTCCCACTACTAATTACTACCGCTTTCCCGTTCAAAATATTCTAATAAAGTTGCAATGAGTTTTTACGGCTATTAAGCTAAAAGAGGTTCTAAAAACAAAAATGTTTGCAAGGACTGCTAGTAAATATTTTCAAGCTTAAAGTATTACAACACTATTTATTTAAACGTGTCAGAACGAATGACAATGGCAGGAAACAAATAAATAAATGAGACAGATCAGACATTTTTTACAGCAGAACTGCCACCTGAATCTCCAACGGGAAATTTAAATTCCACTTAGCACTTAAAAATCGCGCCCTAGATGACGTAACCAAAAGTTTATTTGATATGAACCGTATTTACGTTTGTCTGCATAGAAATTAATAATAACGCTTTGAAAGCATCATTATAACCTCGTAAACCAGAAAAGACACAAAGATAATTGAACTAAGAAAAGTTGCGCCTTTTTTCTTTCTTTATACGTCGTAGGTTAGTTCGTTTTATTTATGTTCTATTGTTTTCCCGCATCCGTTGGCAGCCCTTCCAGCCTTACCAGCAAAAAATCAAACGAAATAATTCAGGGTTCTCTTAGTACGATCAAGTCGGCCGCCAGTACCATGGTCAAGAAGATGGAGGAGATCAAGGAGGCCATCTCCACGTCGGCCAACTCTACGCCCGTCAAAAACGCACTCAACTCCAACGATAGGATGGCCTCGGGGGACACCCTCAACGATATAGATGGCGACAGTGCGCATGGCAGTGACGACACCAGTCTGGAAAGACAAAGAAAAGTGAGTACTAGAGCATGGTCAACTATCGTTATCTTTGTCTTACTCTTTAAAATGCAGACCATCGATTTAAAATATATTTTTTTTGTATTTACTAAGAGTGGCTACTCGACAAATCGAAATCTATGGAATCCATTATTTACCTATCGTGTGATGTCGATATTTTACAGCTACTCCAGTTTTTAGTATATGTTTAGTACGAGCCTTGTACCATATACGAGATGCACTTATCTACGACGAGATGGTATACAAACTTTATTGATGGTAACTTTATTGGTGTATAAGACTTTCTTCCTGGGCAGCGAGTGTTAATTATAAACTGTGCTCTGGGTCTACAGTTAATTTTCTCTCCACTGGACTTCAAAAGACACAAAACACACGTAATAACACGAATCAAAATGCATCATCTTCCAAAACGCAGATATTTGACATAAGTTGGCACAAAATTATAACCTATAATTTAGCAAGACTTTGACAAGCCTCAAAAATCTAAAGGCGAGTTCATACGCGTCGGCGTCCGTTTGTCGTTCATCGTTTCGTCAAACCAATAAAATTGAAATATGATCTGTCATTTTTGAAATAAACCAATAAAACTGATTAAAAACAACAAGAGACGACGCGACGCATGACGGATTTATATTTAAACCCATCCATAGTTAACTTAAAAAGTATTAGAAACTTTTTTTAGTAAAATAAATAGATTGGTATGGGACTGGGGTATCTGCTTTTCTTCTGTCATCGTTTGTCGAAATCTTACCCGAGAAAAAAACAGAGTATAGTTTTCTACAATACCTTATTTTAGGAAGATATCTTATACCTAGCTAATTTACTAAATATAATATATAGGTTTCAGCTGAATTGGGAAGTTATAGAGGTTCTTGTACGAACTTGAAAGATGATGAAATTCTTCCCGAGAACATATATCTGACCCCAGAGGAAGCTAAAGGAGACAGCGAAGTAGACATAACCTTAACCACCTGCTCACAATGTCACAACTGTAACCAGTAAGTAGTACATCTTACTTCTTTTCATTTTTTGTTTGTTTTGTGTTCATCTACACACAATAGTTTAGTTGATAAGTTTTGACTGAACTGTGTAGACGGGCATTTAAAATGTGTTGGCAGAATAATGACACAACCTTGTTGCAATTTGGTGTATGTCATTACTGACACATAAAATTTCATGGTTTAAGCTTGATTTTCATGCGTCCGTTATCCGATGATACGATGGTCATATATCATGATAATAGTACAAGAGCTAGCACCGTCGCGTCGGGAAAATGAAAATTTTGAGAAAGCTGGTTCTTTAATATATCTTCTGCTATGCTCTCCTGTTCTCCTGACCAAAGTGCGAGCCGTCTGGGTGCCGGTAGACTACTGCGCATCACATCTGTACAGGGTATCCCAAAGATATTTAAACTCAAGAGATACAGTTGTTTACCTTTTTCCTTCATCGGCCATTATTCTATCCTTATTTTCGCATCTCTCTTACACCGAAAACATTTGCCAGATTTACCTGTATATTGGTATTAGTATTCGATTAAATACCACAACCAATTATTAAGTAATAAATAATTTCGTTATATTTCTATAATATATCAAGTACATTAATTTACTAACGTCAATTTTTTCATTTAATGCTTAACTGCTTAACTATTTTAAATTTTATAATGGAATAAAAATATCATGATCGTGTTTCTTTTAATAATAAAAAGCAGTTTTTAAAATTTCATTTAATGACATTCATTTATCGAATTTTAACTACAGAGCAGACTCCCTATTTGTTCTCATTGTTTCACTACGTTGACCATGATAATTCGACTAGGCAAGTGCATTATTTTAAAATTCCTCAACACCGAACAGCTAACTTCCAAAAATCTTTCAATTTCATAGCGCCACACCATATGGAATAATATTTCTAATAACTTTAAATTTCAATCCTTTACAGATTATAAAAAACAAATTAAAAATCATTTACTAAATTCATAATAATAAATCATTTAAAAAATTATAATTTCTTCGACTGATTTGTGAGGTTCTTGTTCTTCTGATATGCCCGTCATTGGTTGCTGTTCCGATTACACTGTTTCGTTATGCCTCTCTGCTTATCTCCGCTTATCCCTGATAAAATTATATTTTCACTTTTTTTATCTAATTTTATTTTTTTTTAATTCTGTTTATTTTTATAATTTAATTTATTTCTATTTTATTTTTGGGGTCGCACCACTCTGGTACTTTGTGTCATTGTATCGGTTTTCTAATCGCGGTGCGATCCCTTTAGACACACATTTTAGTAGTTGTAAAATTCATATAGGTATATAATAAATATACATATAATAATAAAGTTTTTATCAAAAATATGTGAAGTCTACAAATATTAGTTTTTGGTAAAATATTATGTTACTAGTTTAAAATAACTATTTTATTTTGTTATTGCTAATAGACTCATTCACCGGAGATGAACAAGTTTTGGAACAAGATATTGAAACAGCATTTACTAATACACCCAAAATTTTTTTTAATCGTTATTCTTATGTGAAAAGCCATCTTATAATAAAAAAATATGCCGGTTTTTATTTATTTCGCTATCCTCCCTCAACTTATTTTTTTCCTATTAATATCCTCCCTCAACTTTTTACAATGCGATAAATATGTAAGTGTTATTATTATTATTTTAAATTTATTAAACAATTATTTTAATTTCCTTAAAATACTGTCGGTCGATCGGCACGCCACTGGAAACTGACCTCAACCGTCTAATCTTTGTAAACAACTACATTGTTGCCGTTGCGCCGATACCCTATTCCCTTCTTTGTCCATTCTCTCTCGCACTCGTTGATTTTCGCAAACCAATGTGTGATGAAGGTTTAGAGCGTTTTATGAATGGATCGTTGTATCTCCCGAGTTTAAATATCTTTGGGGTATCCCATTTTCGTGTGTTTTATGGGATTTCTCGTTTATGAGTAGAGATACAATGATACGATTCTCACTTTATTTTGCTACTTTTTTATGAAACTAAATATGTGACGCATAGGTTTGTCCTAGCCTCCTTAGGTCCTGAAATACAGGGCGAATTCGTGACGCGCAGTAGTGAACAGATGTTGAATACAAATATGATGCACAGTAGTGAACGCAACGTCTACCGGCAGCCAGACCGTCCGCAATCTGTTCGGGGGAGCATAGCAAAAGATATATTAAAGAAACAGTTTTCTTAAAATTCTCACTCGAAAACGTTGCTAGCTCTTATTCTATAAGCAAAACAGCGAAATAGTTATGGAAATGAAAATATAAAATGACACCAATCACAAACAAATCGTATATCCGATGAACGGAAGCATGAAAATGCAATAAATTTAAAAACTACGCAATTTTCTAACCAGTCAAAGTCTTTAAATTCAACCAATAAAATTAATATCGTATCGTCGTATCGTCGGATAACGGCTGCATGAAAATCAAGCTTAAATTGAAGTCTAATTAATCATTAGTCAAATTAAGAGTATCAAACTGTTATTCCTTGTTTTAGGCTACTTTACGACGAAGATATTATGGCCAACTGGTCAGCTGAAGATTCGAATTTGAATACGGTCTGTCAGGCGTGCAACAAGCCTACTGTCCCGCTTTTGACAGTTACTGTCACGGGCAAGGAATTGGCAAGTTGCGATCCGTTCAGCGTTCCGTATTTAAATCCTCTCGTACTACGGAAAGAGTTGGAGAATATCTTAAGCCAGGAGGGTGATTTAAGGTAAATACTAGGGTTGTCTTTTATATTTTGCATATAGAGGTTTCGTACATTCTATTTCATCATTTATTCTTGTTTTCCTTTAGTATATCGGAACCAAAATTTATCGACGAACATCCGATTATCTACTGGAACTTAATTTGGGTGTTTGAAAGGATAAACGTCAACACGTATCTTCCTAATTTATATTTGAAAAACCGCGCAGAGGTTGAGAGCAATTCAAATGGTACAGAGAAGCAAGATAGTAGCCAATCGAGTTTGGAGAAGTTGGAAGAAAGTCAGACTAGCAATGGCAGTAGCAGTATGAAGTTGGTGGAAGAAGGAACGGATCCATTAACGCAAGAACTGGCTGCTTTGGGTAAGAGATCTTTAATATAACATATAACATCCAAAATTTTTTTTTCTTATTAAAATATCATTAGTTTTGGAAAAGACGCTTTTAAAAATAGTTCGATTTCAAAAACATTAATAATTTATTTTGTTAACTTTTTGTAATTATTGATATTTTTATTTTTTCTAAATGCAGCGGACAAGGATAAGGAATTATCAAGTAAGGTTTAATTAAAAGTATATACAGGGTGGTCCGAACTGTATTCCGGAAACTTCGGCAGCATATTCTGCACATAAAAATTAATAAAAAAGTACGTATAAATGTATGTCCTAAAATGCTTCGTTTCGGAGTTACAGGATGTAGAATTTTCATTTTTACTTCGATTTTTTCCAAATAATTTCTGAAGTAACGTCAATATTTAGATGAAAGTTGGTGTCTGGGAGTTTTTTGGCATGAGAAATTTGATTTTAATGTCAATATGACTTCTATTTATCGGGACCGCCACCTACATGTGTTTTAACTCTTTTGAAGAATAATAACTTTTCGTCCGTACCTGTATAAAACTACTGGTTGAAAAAATATACATTTCCGTGATTTTTTACGTAAAAAATGTCTTTTGGTAAAAATCGCTACGAGCAACTGCTCTCAAGATATTTAGAATGGAAGTAGTTAATACATGTCATTATTGAAAAAAAAATAAACATGTTGAGAGAGTAGATAGTTATTTGACTGCAATCACAAATTTGGGAACTTTTTGTTTTTTTAATTTAATCATAAATTTTTAAAAATGCTAAAACAGTTTCTGTTGGATTTTTGGCACAAAAACATTTCAAATTTATGATTTCAGTCTAATAACTATTTAGTCAACATGTTTAATTTATGTCAATAACGACAAGTATTGATAATTTCGATTTCAAATATCTCGAAAACCATTACTCGTATCGATTTTTACCGAGAGACCTTTTTTACGTAAAAAACGTCGTAAACGTATATTTTTTACTCAGTAGTTTTATACAGGTACGGACTAAAAGTTATTACTCTTGAAACCAGTTAAAAATATGTAGGCGGCGCCCTCTACAAGTAGGAGTCATTTGGACATCAAATTCAATTTTCTCATGTCAAAAAACTCTCATTCGCCAATTTTCATCCAAATATTGACGTTACTTCAGAAATTATTTGGAAACAATCGAAATAAAAATGAAACTTCTACACCCTGTATCTCCAAAACTAAGCATTTTAGGACATACATTTATACGAACTTTTTTACTTATTTTTATGTGCAGAATATCCTGCCGAAGTTTTCGGAATACAGTTTGGACCACCCTGTATATAACAATGTATATTTATTTTTATTTCTATTTTTCTTGTTTATACAATAATATGTGTATAAAAATTATACAATTTAATTCCAGAACGATTAGCAGCCAAAGTCAGGGTAAAATGTTTATGGGATGAGCCAAAATTCCACAATGACGGACCACCAATGTATGTTCTATGGAGGTTACGCGACAGTAACCAAATTATGTCTACAGACAGGAGTAAAATCAACAAATCGTAAGTGCTAAAATCCTAGGTAAAAAAAGTGGTGTCTAGTTGGTTTAGAAATGATGCATTGACATTCTAATTCATAACTTTACAACAATCTTTTTTTTTTCAAACCAACTCTGACACTATTTTTTTATTGTGTAGTTAACCTTTATTTAAAAAGATTAAGGAAGGAGCATATCAAAAATCTTAATTGACCGCGACGGGCTCCTAAAATGGCCGACTTAAATTCCGCTTTATCAGTGCCGTTCTAATTTTATTCAAAACTTGTTAAAATATGATTTAGGGTAGATCAATAATTTGTTGTTTTATTTTACGTTGTCAGTAAATGTTGGTAGTTACTAAAATTGTTATAAAAATATAAAAATCTAATAAAAATAGATAAGTTATAATAATTATTTATAACCATAAACATCCGATACGCTACTGAAGCAGGTAAGTCAAATTGACGTATCTAAATTCTGTAACATCTAATCTTTGACAAGTAGTAAATAAAAGCAAAAATGCATGAAAAAATATATAATTAATTAATTTTAAGTGAGTTTTATAAATGATCGGTTTACTACACGTATGTATATTATATAGTCACTTACTAGCGAAAAGTTATTCCATGAATTCCCTCGATTTTTGACCGAGATCTACCGCACGCTACACAACTAACTAGTTTACAGTCTTTTTCGATAAGTCGCAATAGTGTCACTGTTAATTTAAGTTCTGCCACAATTTCAACTTGCAACGTCGCTTGCAACTTGCGTCGCTTGCAACTTTGAGTGACAAGCGACGACGACAGCGCTGCCAGATTGTGATGGATTTATGAGGTGAATCTTAATTTAAAAGTGACAAACAAAATATTTATAATATCATTTTTTAAAGATTTTTACGTTTTTACGTTTTAACTCTTTTTACTTTCGTGAAGTAGAAAAGAAAAATAATAAAACAAGTGACAGTTCTTCCTCTTCTTGCAAAAATCAACACGAAATATCATAATTGTCAAAAGTAAAATGTCATCAGCTTTTGACATTTCTAAATATTAGACAACAAAGAAAAATGCATGGCCGCAAGTTGCTAACCTAATAAAATTAACACTAGAAAAGCCCGCGGTAACTGTCCAATTCAAAGTTATTCGTTTCACAGACTATATTAATGCACAAACTAATAACACAGATTATATAGATTATAATCTTTGTTTTTTCTTTATTGTTTTTCGTGGTTCCAATTTTCGGAATCGGGCACTTGTTAGGTGACTAGTTTGCGCACATAGCACGCCCACTTATGGCCTCTAAAATTGTGCACAGCGCCTGACCGGCACAGTTATTAGAGAGATATCGGAAAACGATATCGCTATTTACGCGTACCTTATCGTGGTTACGATATGCGCGAGTCAATTTTTAACGCAACATCCGCTAATAACGTTACCGCCTGACGTAATTTGCGGATCTATTACACCAAGCGCTCTTTCTAAATAACCTCTGATAACGTTTAAACATTGCTTAAATGGGCATGTGCGGGTATTTGACAACCGGAGCCGGCCGGGGAGATCTTTTATTTTAGGTTATGTTTGAATTGTTTTGAATTATTGCTTTAGTTTTATTAGGTAATTTGATATTTAAGTAGCTGGGATTAGTTTTAATTAAATAAATATGGCCCAAAATATGGATTCCACCTCTTCCAATACTAAAGAACCTATAAAGAGTCTTAGGTTTACAGCAGATGACGACTTAGCCCTTCTAAGAGAATTTGTTGCTTGTTGCCCTAAACCCACTGGCAGACGTTGAACAATAAAGCACGGGAAATAAGCACTTTAGCCCTTAAACCCGTTACCTAGTAAACAAAGCAATTTCAAAGTTTTAAATTCAAAGTTAGGTTAAGTTTAAATAGCGGACGCGACGCGATCAGAATTCTTTCCGATCCGATAACTATAAATGAAGAGAGTTAATACCACGTAATCACGTAAAGAAAATAACACCTGGCCTTATTAACGTCCATGCACGCTATTCGGTTTAGCGATATCTCTCTATTGCGCTGTTTATTGTTATTTTACGCGAGTTTGTTTTTGCGCACAGGAAATTTGACTCGTTTGCACATCGTCATAAAAAACAACTTTCGTACCACGAATTAGGGACAATATTTTTATCTGTATACTTATCGGATAACTAATCTGTGCTAATAATCACAGAATTTAATAAAAACTAACGTAGAAATAACTTTGAAAGTGGTGTAATGTGCTTGTCAATCAAACTTACTTCTCTGACTGCAGTCAGGGGTAATAAAGAACCTTTATTGTCACATTCTCGTTCAAAATAGTTTATCAGGGAAGCTACAAGCTCTTTGCTTCGACTGTTTAAATGCTTCGGCATATTTTCAACACACAATTTCAAGAAATACAATACAAAAACTCGAAAATTTAGTTCTTAAAAGAACTGTTTGTGCTTAAAAGTACAATTTTTAAAAAATGAAAATAGGCAAAAAACTAGAATTACTCACAAAGATTCAACAACAACACGATATTATACAAAATAATGACTGACATTAGGATAATTGTCAAATAATAAACGACAACCTTGCTGAAAATGGCGCAATGTGACCAACATAGCGATAATAAAATTTGGTTTAAACTAATTTTTGCAGCTTTAATCTAAATAAAATATCTGTTACAATCATTTGCTCTATAAAGTAAAATAAAGAGCAGCTCGGTATCTGAAACTATACAACAAATTTAAACATTTTTGTCAAAATTTCATTCAGTCGGGTTTATAGACTTTAATGTCAATGTCGATATGATTGATGACGTGCATCGGAAAATATTTTGCGATTACAATAGTTCTACTAGACTTTACCATAGATTTACAATTTCAAACATGTGCGATTTCTTTTTATTGATTTATTTATTACAGGTTTATGCAGCAGATCATCAATTATATCAGAGTAAACGATTTGACTGAACCAATCAAAAGTTTAGCCAAAGAGAGGGAACAGTCGTACAATCAAAGGACGGCGAACTCTATTTATAGAGACGTTCTCTTTCTGGCTTGTAGAGCTTTGGGAAGGTCGGTGATCGACATAAACGCTTTCGACAAAGAGTACACAGCGGCCTATTCAAGGTAAGTCCTATAATAAATATGTACAGGGTGAGTCAATTGTCTCATTTGTTTCAAGGTTTATAAAAAATGTTAAATATAAAAGTTATAGGGAAGGTTAAGATACGCATTTTCAAATTATTATAGAGTAAGGTGCTTCAAAAAAGTGTGGCGGATATAACATATGTTTTTTTTTAAATGCAACACTGTATTTTTTATTTTATTTTTAGATTCTGCGTAAAATTTTATAACTTTTTTATACAGGGTCGCTGTTATGTATGGAAACGGTCGATTATTAGGTAAAATATAGGAGGTACCGCAAAAAGTTAAATACAAAGAGTTATAGGATTTTTAAATATCTAGTAGCGAGTAATAAATTTAAGTATACAGGGTCGGTCATAAAGTCGTAGAACATAAAAGTTTCATTTTTTTAAATAGAACCCCCTGTATATTATTGCATATTTCAATTCTTCCTTCAATTCTAAGCAAAAACTGAAATACACACAATGTACCTCAAACCACCCGTTTCCGAGTTATTGACTTTTGAAAATATCACTTAAACAATTTGGTTTAATTAATTTCGATATGTTCAGTTTTATTTAACGATAATGTTATATACCTAAAATTAATAGTTTTTGTAATATTTAAATTTGTTTAAACAAATGTTAATTTCTGTATAACAAAAAATTGTTAGTGGTACCATTGTATAGTCTGTAAAACGAATAACTTTGAATTTGACAGTTCCCGCGGGCTTTTCTAGTGTTAATTTTATTAGGTTAGCAACTTGCGGCCATGCTGACTCAATGCCGTCTCTAATAGAACAGCCTCGGAGCGAGATTTATGACGTCATGCTAGTTAGATACTACAGATTAATAAATATGTTGTAGAATACATGGAAAACTATATATTCCTCGTATTTTTGGTTTGTATTTTAAAAATAATATAGTTTACATGAAATATACATAATATACAGTTAATAAATACAATATATATACCTATTTATAGTAATAAATACTTTGGCAGATAAACTATGAACCATACAAATGCAGCAAATGTTTTACAATATAGCTGAAATCGTACTCCATAGTCAATGTAGATAGTTTTTGTGTTAAGAATAATAATTTAAAAAAATATGTGGTCATCTTTTGACAAGTTTATATTGGTTTATTAATTGCAGTAAACATTATAATATATAAATAAATTTTGTGAATGCAAATAATAATACATCACTATTAGTAGATATTGAATGTCTTTTTGTTAAATTAGATCGATTTTCAAACCCTAAAATTTAAAATATATTTTACATTTTACCCATTATCTTATGTACATATGTTTGTATATTGTAAAACATTGGCTGCATTTCTATGGTTCTTAGTTTATTTGCCAAAGTATTTATTACTATAAATAGGTATATATTATAATGGAAAATAAATTTCTTGCAGTTTTTAGGTATATAATAAAATTATATAAGAGTTTCTTGCCTTGAACTGCTAATATAGAAATTAATTCCACGCTGTGTTCGACATAATGTGGATCAACCTGCTCTCACTACCGGTTTCGGGGCCCTACCCCATCATCAGGTGAGCTTGAGTATTTCCACAATATGTCGAGCAGAGCGCAGAGTATATAAACACGACTTGTCGTAAAGTAGCGGTAAGATATTAAGTCCCGCATCGCGAGATAGCGGCATGCGTGCAATGGTAGTACTTTCGTACCACCGAGGCACAACTATCGATAGTAAATAAAGGCTTTTTTCGGCTAGCCCAAATTATATAATGGAAAATAAATTTCTTGCAGTTTTTAGGTATATAATAAAATTATATAAGAGTTTCTTGCCTTGAACTGCTAATATAGAAATTAATTCCACGCTGTGTTCGACATAATGTGGGTCAACCTGCTCTCACTACCGGTTTCGAGGCCCTACCCCATCATCAGGTGAGCTTGAGTATTTCCACAATATGTCGAGCAGAGCGCAGAGTATATAAACACGACTTGTCGTAAAGTAGCGGTAAGATATTAAGTCCCGCATCGCAAGATAGCGGCCTGCGTGCAATGGTAGTACTTTCGTACCACCGAGGCACAACTATCGATAGTAAATAAAGGCTTTTTTCGGCTAGCCCAAATTATATAATGGAAAATAAATTTCTTGCAGTTTTTAGGTATATAATAAAATTATATATGAGTTTCTTGCCTTGAATTTGAACGAATGCATTTTTTGGTATATATTATATTGTATTTATTAACTGTATATTATATATATTTCATGTAAACTATATCATTAAAATACAAACCAAAAATACGAGGTATAATTATTTTTTCCATGTATTCTACAACATATTTTTTATTAATCCGTAGTATCTAATTAGCGTGACGTCATAAATCTCGCTCCGTGGCTGTTCTATTAGAGACGGCATTAGTCTAATATTTAGAAATGTCAAAAGCTGATGACATTTTACTTTTGTCAATTATGACATTTCGTGTTGATTTTTGCAAGAGGAAGAACTGTCACTTGTTTTATTATATTCCTTTTCTATTTCACGAAAGTAAAAAGAGTTACCTATCTGATTCGTTCAGGCACTCAATTTAAAGAATATCAGGAACTTTTTTGACAGAGGGATTTTATATTTGCCATGTTGGTAAAAAATAACGGTCAAAATTCAAAGTTATTCATTTTATAGACTATATCTGAAGTTGGAGTACCAAAATTTGGTAGGAGAGTTTTATAGAGATAACTCAAAAACGCCAAACCGATTTTAACCAAATTTGGCACAAAAATACTGTGGCACTCGAGAATCTGACCATTAGTTTTTGGTGGGGGTGGGGGGTTGGTAAGGGGGTATGGGAGGGGGTTAAAAATTTTAAAAAATCGTAACTCCAAAATTACAATAGCTAGCGAAACGGGGTTTTCAATTTAAGATTAGGAATAATATTTGCAACAAAATTTGTAATAACATCAAAATCAAAGTCTTACTTTTTGAGATAAAAAAAACATTGGATAAATTTCTTTAATTTGAAACTAAAGGAACTGCCTTTTTATTAACATATTTTGGTATGGGCGGCTATATTACTACATTTTTTCTATTTTAACCCATATTTTTAGTACAATAATTATGCTATAACATCAAAGTTACCACGACAAAAAAGAACAACAAATAAACCTACAATTACATAATTTTTTTCAGATACAGTGAAAAGACACAGCTCGAAATTCAAGACAAGCCTATCACACTTAACTCTCTATACTGCAGGCAGTATTTTCGTCCGTTACTGTTACCCTAGAAAAAGACTTATCGGAAACGTCAACGAACATTGTGGATAGCGGAAATAATATTCTTTTAAAAGTAGTTTTTACTTTTAGTTTTATTTAATTTTTCACATAGGTTTCAGCTTTTTTTGTTAACGCTGTGTTACAACACCATATGATGATCCGTCCCATTCAAATAAATTTTTGTTGGCGACTTTTTCTATTTAGGATATTTTTGTTGGTCATTTTTAAATCTGCGAGATATATTTTGTTTCTTTACTAACAACACAGCTAGTTTGTTTTTATCCTAGATCATAATACCGTATGATCGAATAAAAACGGCGTCAGCGATGACTATGAAATGAAGATCGCTGTCATTTTATATGTAAATTTATATAGGAAATGCCATCGATCGTCATTTCCAAGCCAACTGGACGCCGTTTTTATTCGATCATACGGTATATACTTACATGGATAAGTAAATCACTATGGAAACTGTCGCAAACATATCAACGACTTCCATTTATCTTCTGTTTTTGTTGTACACCTAGTGCGTCTACTCTTTCTATCCTTGTCGAGGACTTATCGTCCACGCGCCAAATTTAAACATTAATTTTAAAAATTTAATTTGTAAAATGCATATATTTGAATAATAAATTGAATGTTTACCGTCACAAAAATTAAATTATATAAAAAATACATTTAGCCACTCCGTACAAATATCAATATTCTTAGGAAATCTAACCAGAAACTATGCCATGTGGTTTAATATAAACACCGAGAACAATATTCTTTGTGATATAAATAAAAGTACAACTGAATACTTTACTTGTCTATGAAAAGGTAATTCGGGGACCTTTATATTAGAACTTCCACACACCAAACACTTTCTAGTCATTTTTACGAGTATTTAGAAAGTCCAACGAAAAAAAAATAGAAATATAATTGCACAAACTTAAAATTAACTTCTCAACACACTTGCATCCTTGGCTATATAAAAGCGGCCTATAGAAGAGTAATTAATACAATTTTTAAAATAAAAAAAACGCAAAAAACAAGCATCGTTACACAGTGGAAATAAGATTATGACATATGATTATGACAATAGGATGACAATGAAAAGTTGGTATTCTAAACCGTAAAAAATTGTGATTATTTTGGAAATACGTGCAACTTTTAATGCGCATGCGCAAAGTAAGGTCCTCGGAAAAGACAAACTTATTGAACGTTTCATAAGTGCAATAAAGAAGGTTTGAAAATGGCATGTCGTGATGTTGGAGACATATTTTTTAATGCTAAACTTACGGCGTTGATTTATCCACGTAAGTATATATATGATCTAAGGTTTTTATAAATTCGAATTATTTGATGTACAGAGTCTTACTGTTGTAACAATTTTTAATATTTTGAATAATTATGATAAATATTTTACAACTTTTATGTTAATATAAAAAAGTAAAATGCTCTGTATATCTACTTTGTTCTCAAATATAAAGTAAAATATTAAAACAATAAAAAAAAAAAAAAATAAATAAAAGTACAACTGAATACTTTACTTGTCTATGAAAAGGTAATTCGGGGACCTTTATATTAGAACTTCCACACACCAAACACTTTCTAGTCATTTTTACGAGTATTTAGAAAGTCCAACGAAAAAAAAATAGAAATATAATTGCACAAACTTAAAATTAACTTCTCACTGAACACACTTGCATCCTTGGCTATATAAAAGCGGCCTATAGAAGAGTAATTAATACAATTTTTAAAATAAAAAACGCAAAAAACAAGCATCGTTACACAGTGGAAATAAGATTATGACAATACACATGACAATAGGATGACAATGAAAAGTTGGTATTCTAAACCGTAAAAAATTGTGATTATTTTAGAAATACGTGCAACTTTTAATGCGCATGGCGCAAAGTAAGGTCCTCGGAAAAGACAAACTTATTGAACGTTTCATAAGTACAATAAAAAGGTTTGAAAATGGCATGTCGTGATGTCGGAGACATATTTTTTAATGCTAAACTAACGGCGTTGATTTATCCACGTAAGTATATATATGATCTAGGGTTTTTATAAATTCGAATTATTTGATGTACAGAGTCTTACTGTTGTAACAATTTTTAATATTTTGAATAATTATGATAAATATTTTACAACTTTTATGTTAATATAAAAAAGTAAAATGCTCTGTATATCTACTTTGTTCTCAAATATAAAGCAAAAATAAAATATTAAAACCTTTTTAACGGCGTAAGAGGTTTTCTTTTATTTATTTTGTAATTTGTTATGGTTGTTTTAGGAGGTTAACTTTTTTATTGTACAGTTGATTAGTGTTAATAGATTTTTAGACGTTATTTTAATTGGCTTACTTTTAATTTAAAGTGTTATTTTAGTAAACTGTATATTATCAAAAAATTATTATTGTAAAATAGCAATTCAATAAATATATTGTTAATTTCTTCAAAAATTTTATATTCTTTCCTTTTTACGGTTCCGTACCCCAAGGGTAAAAACGGGAATTCTATTACTAAGACTTCGCTGTCCGTCCGTCCGTCTGTCACAAAGGTCTATCTTATGAACCGTTATAGCTAGACAGTTGAAATTTTTACAGATAACGTATCTATGTTGCCGCCATAAGAATAAATACTAAAAACAGAATTAAATAAATATTTATAAATAAAAAAGTACTTTCACTAAACATTATCTTTTAAGTTAGGCAGGGATGTGTCTTAGCGCCTCTCCTATTCAATATATTCATGGCAGCGCTCTCCATTATAGTAGATAGCAAACTGCAGGAGAGAGGTTTGGGCATTAGATACAGATACGACGGCGCACGGTGGGGTATTAGCATGAAAAAGGTGATCGAAATTCGAAAAAGCAAATGTGTTTAACATTTCCCAAAAAAAGATAAATGATAAGTTAAATCATGTCTGCCATGAATGGCGTTGCTATGGGTGCGTTTAGTTGCATTCATTTGTTTCAACGAAATGTCAAAGTTGTTACTTCTCACAGATAAGAGGTAAATGGCTAAATTTTATGTTTAAAGTTATAAATTGTTGTTGTTCTTGTGCTCTTTTTACGTTTATATTATTGTTTTGATTGAAAATGGCTCAGCAAGCTGCAGGTATGTATTCTACAAAAACGTATTATTTATTTCGGCAGTTTAATTTCGGAAAAGGCCAATATCGACTCTGAAATTCAGCACAGGATTAGCAGCGCGTCAAGAGCATTCTGGAAATTAAAAGACAGGGTTTTCTACAATCATGACTTGAGCACAAAAACTAAACTTGCGGTGTACCGAGCGATAATAATTCCCACCATGTTATATGGAAGCGAAACCTGGGTGCCGTACCGCCGACACATGAACGCATTAAACAAGTTGAAACAGAGACATCTTAGACAACTTTTAAGAATAAAATGGTTCCATCGTGTCTCAAACGTATCGGTCCTTGAAAAAGCTAACTTGCGAGAGTATTGAAGTCATGATTACAAAGTCCCGCTTAAGATGGGCTGGTCACGTATGCAGAATGCAAGAAAACCGCATGCCAAAATCGCTGCTTATAATAAAATAAAAATACAATAAAATAGAACATTTAATCATTCTTTAAACTAAAATTATTTACTGTATTTTATCTATACAGGGTGCTACAAATTCGAGGTACGAGCATTGGCATCTCGGTAACCGTAATAGATACGAACATGGTTAAATTGGGCTAAAGTTGCGCTTTGAGATGTTCACCAAGATGCCATCAAAAAAGTTTTAAAAATTCCAAGGATTGCTGAGTTTTTTTGAAAAAAACGGACGTCGTTTTTTTTTGAAAATCAAAAAACTAATTGCATATTTTCGTAGCCACTTTCTGATGGTATTTTTAGAAATTCAAATTAGCTCATAATTTGTGAGATACAGAGGTTAACTTAGTTTTTTTATATACGGACCTGCAATTTTTATTTCAGCTTATGAAAGAACTCGGTCTCCTGAGTACAATGAGATGCTACACTTATTTTTTTTTTGTTTCGGACATTCAAACACAATTTATTTAAACTAATTTCAAGTCCGGCTCTGTTTTGTTTTAATATTTAATCTATTCATCCTTACAAAATTTATAAGCCTTTAAACTTAACAATGGCGTGGGGTAAATGGGGTAAATGGGGCTATTCACAATAAAAAAGTTAAAAATAATATCTTTAAATTGCTGACCTAGATATTATTTATTTGAATCTTTCTATTGGCTCGATTTTCTTTATTCAATGTTAATTAGCGCTGATCAGTATTGTTGCGATGAATATAATCAGATTTTATAATTTGAAAAACCAGCGCAGCGTCGGACTTGGAATTCAAATAGTAATTAAATAGTTCTGTTGTTAAGGTACCCAAAACAAAAAAGGGAGGTACACATAAGATAAAACCGTTTAACTTAAAAGTTTTTTTACCGATTTTTATTTTATCAAGATTATAAATATGCATATCAGATTATTTTAAACTCACTACTGGTTGAATACCCTGTATAGTCCGTATTTATCATTGGTATTTATATTATGCAACCATTCTCTAACGGATATTGCTAATTAGTTCTCGTTAGTAATTTATGGCATTTGTGCAATCATCCCAAAGCTAGTTTGTTGCGATATCTAGTCTTTATAAACATTATCAATATTATGTAGACACATCGGCGTCTATAACAACAGTTATTGTGATCAAGTTCGATTTAAATATTATTTTTATTTAATACCGTAGTTAACAAATTAACTCCAGAGTATAAATTACCTACTTTTATTACGTAAGTTTTATTAGTAATAGCTAGATATAAATAAATACTATTATGTGAAGCAATATTGAAAAGGTTATCATCATTATTCCTTCTTGAAGCGCTTATCTCTCTAAATAAATGCCTTCATCTATTTAGAGATATATTATTTAAATTGACTGTCTGTGATATACATCAATTAAATAAACGTTTCAATAACAAAAATGTAAATAAAATACACTTTAATTTCAAGTACCCGGACGATTTTTTTTTTAAATAATACAGATTTTATATAAAAGGTCTTGTCGTGCACGTTTGAAGTGTTTTAGTTTGTGTTTTTTAAAGGTGATTTGTACAAAAATGAGAGATTATATTAAAATATTGCTCGTTTTTGCATTGCCTGTATTTGCAAACAGCAAATATGTAGGCAATTATTACAATAACGTAATTGAAGAAGATTCCTGTAATTTATCACAAGAATTATTGGATGAAATTCATTCATACGAAGACACGGCGAATAAGATTATTAACAGTTTAATTAATGGAAAGTATAAAGTAAGTATATGCCTTTATATACAATACTATATACTAAAAAAACGACGTCACAGTTGGTTTAGAAATTTATTTCCAAGCCAACTATTTAGTACTATTTTTGTGTTACAATCAAATATTAGATTTTCAATATATTTTTTCATATTAGGGTGGTACCTACAAAGAATTGGCTCAGTTTGTGGACAAGTTTGGTGCTCGCGTTTCCGGTACTGAAAATTTGGAAAATGCCATAGATTATGCGTTGAACTTAATGACTGAAAATGACCTGGAAAATGTACACGGTGAAGATGTTGATATTCCACACTGGGTGAGGTAAGTTATCCAAAAAATTATATTATACCGGGTGCGTCTCAAAAGTGGCTCACCTCTATAACTTTTTTATTTTTTCAGATAAAAAACGAGATTTGGTATATTAGTATATGACATAAATTAGGATTGATTGACGTATTCAATTGTTTTCGGTCACTTCCTGTTTCACCGGAAATGACTACAACTTTTGATTTTTAAATGGCACCCTCGGTATTTTTTTTACTTTATTCGATAGAAAATAACACTCTGAATAGAATGATATATGTATCATATGTCAACTTTTGACATTTTTGCATATGGTTTATTTGAAATTATAACTTGCGGTTCATAACGAATATTTAACTCGAAATACCAAGTGTGTGGTATCAAATTATTCGTAAAAAAATGCTTTTTCCAAATATATTAATGAGCCACCCTCGTTCCATTTGAAAAAATTGAGATATGACTAAAAATACAATTTGGACATCTTTTAACCGGCCAGGATGAGACACTAAAAGCATTAGATGATCAAATGTATTTTTCCAAAGCTCATTGATTAAAAATTAGTGTTTTTAACATAGTCATGGCACTCTAGATTGAAATCTAAAATACGATTATGTATTAAGTGAGAATGTCAAAAATTGACATACGATATGTCATTCTATTCAGAATGTCGTATTCTATCGAATAAAGTAAAAAAAATACCGAGGGTTCCCTTTAAAAATCAAAAGTTGTAGTCATTTCCGGTGGAACAGGAAGTGACCAAAAATAATTGAACATGTCAATCAATCCTAATTTATGTCATATACTAACATACCAAATCTCGTTTTTTTTTATCTGGAAAAATAAAAAAGTTGATAGGGGTGAGCCACTTTTAAGACCAACATTTTTAAACCTTTTTCTTATGTTTGCAATTATTACCTATCTCCCTTTTTCTAATGCCTTCAAAGTGTGGCTAATACAATTTGCACAAAAAGATATTTTTTTATAAACTATACACAGTGTCAATAAAATTTTGTTTATTTTTAAGAACATTGATAAACTGTTTTTCATGAAATTTGGTACTCTTGCACATATTTTAATACCAAAGCGAATGGTGATAGTGTAAAATCCCGTAACAGCTCTGAATAAAAAAAGTACGACCAGTAGTACTATTTACTATAATGGAAAGTACCCTTCCATGGGTGTTACGGAATTTTACACTAACGTCATTCGCTTTGGCATTAAAATGTGTCAAAGAGAACCAACTTTCCAGAAAAAAAAACAGTTTACCAATATTCTTATAAATAAAATATATTTATTATTGATGTAACTTCGTCGGGAAGCATTTTAAGACATATGTTCATAGGAACTTGTTTTTTTATGTGTAGAATAACTTACACTACTTACTACTTACACTTTTTTGACACACTGTTTATCTAATGTTGAAATATATCAGACAAAAACAATGAAATCGTAGTCTGTACAACAATTTTATTGTCACCTGGTACAGACACTTTGGAGCAAAAATTAAATAAATATTATTGTCTTAGAAATTATGAATACGCCGAATTATTGGAGCCCAGACAAGTCAAGCTGCCTGTTTTGGGTTTAGGTGGATCTGTCAGTACTCCAGCCGAAGGTAAGAACCTCTATATGAAACAAATATAAACAAATAGAAAAAAAACACTCGATAATGTTAAAATGTCAAACATTATTTGTTTGAAAAATATTGTTATCAAATATCCTAATGCCACTTCAGTGCTGGATAAAACCAGATTGGTTTTACCAAGATAAGAAAAATCGTCTTGAGTACAATGACTATGCAAAAATATATTGATTTTTTTTTAATTTAGTAATTGCAACTCATGATTGAGAATTTTTGTACTGATAATAAATAATACTTAGTACTGATAATTATAATACTCTCTCAAAAAAATTATAGAAAGCACCACTTACATGTGAGTAAAAATGACAGACACAACTGCCACTGTCATGCTGTCATGGATCATTTCATTGGACAGAATATATGTCTAGTATTCTACTATTAATAAATAATATTTTCTTGCCTTTAGCTGTGTATTTTTTCTAATTTCGAAAAATCGAAAGTAGAGAAAAAATTTAAAAAATAAAAAGTAAAAAGAAAATTGTTTTGCTTGTCGTAAAGGGGGGAACCAAGCTCCACTCCCACAACCGGTTTCTGGGCCTACCCTTCATCAGGTGGGCTGCATGGTACAAAGAATACAAGGTATGATATTGCGCAGGTTGGTCGCTACGTCACAGGTGATAACTGGCGCTATTGGTCAGCACCATAGATTTAGGAAGAACAGATATCACATTGTGCATTTTAATCCAATCAAACAATCGGAGGTTGACTACGTACTGTAAAAACCAACTGAAATAGAGAAGGCGACATTGCCACATCTCAAATTTGCGCCTATCTACTTAGTTTGATTTGCAGAAAGGTACCCTTTTGCAGAAAAGGTTAAAACCTTCACCGGATATCAATAAATCTCAATTTCTTAATTAAACTAATAGTTTATTTTTAAAGAAGCATGCGTGATTAACCAGAGGATATATGCGTTACTATTAAAGGACATGTTTACTGTTTAATGTGCTGAAACGTCTAGAACTATTGGCAACGTCGCTGCTAGTCTTCCAGAATGAAAATGAGCCGTCCGTCCCACCACCCCTCGCGACGACCCTTGGTCCGCCAAGTTATATAATAATATCGTCATATTGTTTTTTCTCATGCTGACATAAATGTGAGAAAATTTTATCCAGTTTGTATGTTAATGGAAATTTTTGCTTTGCTTTATCATCACCATTACAAATGATTAATTCGACGCGAACGAAGTCGCTGGTATATGCTAGTATTGTATATAGGGTATCTTTTTAAATTTAACAATGCTTTAAAATTGATATCATATCAATTTTTGTGCCCAGCTATCGTTTTTAGGGTTCCGTACCTTAAAAGGAAAAAACGGCACCCAGGCTTGATTTTCATGCTTGATACGATGGTCCGACGGCGCTCTGATTGGTCATAGCGTTTTCGCGCCACTTTTCATCCGTAAATTTTTACTCCAGCCCGTCAACGGAGAAAGATCGTACGATAACGGACGTTTTGACACTTTTTTGACAGATTTAATTTAACCTTAATAGAAATATAATATTACAAGGACTAGCAACGCAATGTCGGGACAACGAGAATTTTAAGAAAGCTGGTTCTTTAATATATTTTTTGCTATGCTCTCCTGACTAAAGTGCGGGTCGTCTGGCTGCCGGTAGACTACTGCCCATCACATCTGTACAGGGTATCCCATTTTCGTGTGTTTTATAGGATTTCTCGTTTATGAGTAGAGATACAATGATGCGATTTTCACATTACTTTGCTACTTTTTATGAAACTAAATATGCTACACATATGTTTGTCCTAGTTACTTAATTCCTGAAACACACGGCGAATTTTTTATGCTCAATATCGACAACACATCGACAATAAAATGACACCAATCGCAAGCAAATCGTATATCCGATGAACGGAGGCATGGAAATGCAATATATTTAAAAACTGCGTAATTAATATTAATATCGTATCGTATCATCGGACATCAAAAAAAAATATATATATGTATGCGTATTTCTTCTTTTTTAGGATAGAGGCGAAACAATCAAAATTAAGCTTTCGTTAAACTACACTAAATATGAAGACTCAAAATCTCGTAACTCGGTGGGAGAAATAGCGGGATCGTCCCTTCCAGAGAAAGTTGTTCTCATCAGCGGTCACATTGACAGCTGGGATGTCGGCGTAGGTGCTATGGATGACGGTGGTGGCGCTTTCATCAGTTGGTATGCCTTGGCAGTACTTAAAGGTTTAGGATTGAGAGCCAAAAGAACTTTAAGGTGGGTATTTGGATAACTATACTAAGGGCTGGCAAAGGTTAGTCTTGGGTCGAGATCTTCGTATGTAAGAAGAGTACAATGCGTTTATAATGTACTGAACAAAGAGAGGACAGTAAACACGTTGCCAAACATATGAAATAAACCGAGAAACTGTGCACATCGCTAAGAGACGTGGAAGGGGATATAGCAGATTTGTCGCAGTTGACCGCTCGACCCAATCAATACCTCTGTCAGTACTTAAAGTTCTAGGGAAAGGTGTACGTCATGCGTTCAGCTTCACGATTTAATTACGTCTCGTGATACTTAATTTGTTCATTTATTAACGAATCGTTGTAATTTTCTCTATAGCTTGAATTTTTTTAAGTGCAAACTAGAAACACTTGCATTTTTGGTAAAAATAAGTGAAATTGAGTGGGTGTTCGATAGTGGTCGCGCTATTAGAACTCTGAGTTCAAAAATCGATATCTCGAAATCTATTAGAAATAATAGATTGTAGTTTTTTCAAGAACTTTATTAATATTTCTGCTGTATTTTCTTTGTAGACAGTATATGAAAATCTAAAATAAAAAAAATTACACGATTGCTGAAAATTGCTATGCTCTAAAAGTAAATGGATGGATTGTTTACAATTTTTGAATAGAAAAAACAACCTTATCGAATTTTTCTTATGTAAACATGTTGTAAAATATCCGATCTTGAAAATAAAAAAAGTTTCAATATCTAAAGTGGTTCTTGACTTGAATTATGGCCTGTTATGTGTTAAAAAGTTCAGTTTTTAAATTATCGCGATTACTGACGTTTTCTCGTTATAAAAAAAATGACACCCTAACGATATCCTTATAATTCCATTTCAGATGCTCAGAAACATGTCTAATGATTTTATCTAGTTATCTCTTGAAAAAAAAGTCTTTTAAAAATAAGCGGTTTGCGATCGTGATTTTACTTTACTTGATAGGGAAAGGCGTATCGGCAACGCCGCAACAGCACACCGTCGCGCGTCGCGTCGGTCGGTCGCATTTCTCTCACTCCGACTTAATAAGATCCTTATGCGATTTACTTCCACACATGTAAATGCCGACCCAAAAGTAACAGTTGCCAGCACGGTATTGTGTATTGTTATCATTGTGTCTATGATTTGGGGTCTATATTTCGTTTAATGTTTTGTCAACAAAATATGGCGGGTAGTCTCGTTTTTTATTAATGTATTTTTTATGTGGTTTATATCTCTGTTTAGTGAAATGTCGTCTGAACATATTATTTTTGCCCTATCACATAAACTTTTTATAACACCTTTTTTTACACTTATACTGTGAAAAAAATATCTCCTATTAAGCCCTTTTATAAAAATCTATTAAAGACCGTTGGAGGACTCTCATTCCAGGTTACGGATGGAGCCTTTCAATTTCTTGACTTCTGCTTTAAGTTGGTTTCCACTTGGGAAACAGAACGGTTCTGGTCCAGTTAGTGGAGTGTTCGCTCCTTTTCTAGCTAGATCGTTTGCTTTTTCATTACCTTCTATTCCATGTAGGCCATAGTCATAATTTTAATAAAATAAGTGATAGATTACAAAATTAAAAAAGAATGTAATGTTTCTTGTTCAGGGCAGTACTTTGGACTGCTGAAGAACCCGGCTTGATAGGATGGCAGGCTTACAACGCCACTCATTTCAACGAACTGGGTAACTTCACTTTCGTTATGGAATCGGATGAAGGTACTTTCACTCCGCTGGGTATCGAATACGCGGCTGGTACTAAAGGAGGTTGCATAATCAACGAAATTGTCAAGTAAGTTAGATATGTATAAGCACAGACTTAGGCTGTATTCCGTTGCAAAACCAGGCGAACCAGACCGGTAAACTACGGTAAAGAGCGGTTCCTGAAAAACATCAGTTTGATCAAAGAATATACCTAGCTAGAAAAAGAATGGACTCTGCCATACTGAAAAATGGTCCTACAGAAGTGGCGCCATCTATTGAGTAGGGCTTGTTTTAAATGGATCGAAGCGCGGGCTTTTTAAATGATCGTATTTATTGAATTTTACTCTAAAATAATTAAATTTGATTATTAAATCTTATTTTTTACACAAATTCAACAATACTAATAACAAGTATCGTTGTTATGTGTAAAAAATAAGATTTAACAGCATAATTTATACAATTATTAAATAAAATTAAAGCCAAACATGTGAAATATTATTTATTATTTAAAGTTTTTATTTATAAGTCAAATATTTAAACATCATTTATTATAATAAAACAAGACCAACGTAATACGCCCAAAGTTTTGTAAATGGAGTAAATATAAATAGGTACTTAAATGATGGCAAAAATAAAAGACTTACATTATATTTTTAGGACCACAAACAAAAGGAATTGTCTAATTAAAACACATACACAACACATATAACAAATTATAGTTTGAAAAACGTTTTGATAATCATTTATTTGATAATATTATGATTGGCGCTATGACAACGACAATATTTTTTGAGAATTTGACAATAATATGACAATGGCCATTGGTAACTATGGAAACTAAAAAAAAATTCTGATTTAACGCCATCTGGCAATAACTAGTAGCAACTTCTTAACCTAAAAATTAATTGCACTACCACCTAGTGGCTAGGGCTGGAACTATTTTATTTGAGATTTCCGTGGAAACGGTGGAACCGCTTTTGCTATTTCACTTTCCCGCCCCTGGGGCGCTGTTCTGTACAATCGTCGGTATCGATAAGTTACCGACAGCTATCGGTACATATTTGTATATAGTAAACATGTGTTGATTGTTGTTGTCATAGTTACCGATCGGCCCTATGGCAGATATCGCAATTTTGTACCGACGAAAATCGGTATCTCTACCGTGCCTTTGTCAACCTCACGGTAGAGATACCGAGAGTCGTCGGTACAAATTTGCGATATATGCCATATAGTATTGGAAACGTCAAATGTGAAGTTTTCTAAATTTCAATACCTCTATTATAAAATGTATCTTTTATGCATTTTTAATGTACCTATTCTCTACTTTTACATTTGCTTCTTCTTTTCAATGGAGTTTAATATTGAAAAGTACTTTATTAATAAATTGTTAAATTCGTTAGACAGTTCAAGTGAAGATTTGCAGGTCCAATATTAAAACAAATCAATAATAAATAAACAAATCTAATCAATATTTATATTTTTATAGCTTACAAAACATTCACGATTACTTGTTGTCTTGTTTTTCATGTTTTCTTTAAATGCTCCTGACTTTAAGAAGCAATGAGTTTAAATGCTCCTAAAAAGTAATTCTACTTAGTTAATGAAATTTATTTACCTTTACTGCCTACCTCCATTGCTTTTGGATGTAAATACAAAATATTATTACAAATTTTAGAAATTAAATGACAATTTCACTCGAACTTCCAATATTTACTTGATTTCTGTCACATCAATGACATTGACAAACAAAACCAGAAAAAAACAGACCTCTCTGAACCAGACTTCTCGCGCTGGTTAGTTTGGTGACAGTTATAACCGAATTTTTCAGGAACCGTGTTCCGTAATAATAAAACTTTCAGGAAACCGATAGAAACGCATGATAGAAACGGAACATAAAACCATAACTAAGGTAAGCAACGGAATACACCCTTACTAAAAGTTTGTAATATAATAGATTAGGAGTATGCACAAAGTATCACAGTTGTTTTCATTAAGTTTTGATTTCTGATTAATGTTGAATGCCGTAATTTTTTATATTATACATTTTATTAGGTTTTTGGCTCCAATAAATGCCACACAAACAAAGTCTAGCTCTGCTGTTGGTTCAGATATATCCTCGTGGACAGAATCTTTGATCCCAGGAGGTAGTCTTCTCAACGCCAATGACAAGTAAGAACATTTTGTATTGGTAATCGGCATTAATAATTGGTCTATTCAATTGAGCTAATCAGAGTAAAAAGTCAGTGACATACAGTTTTTTTAGAAAAATGTTCCAGTGATTATACAACTCTATGTATATTTTTCCTATATAGAAGGATATGATTAATAAGTGATAATCATTTAAGTGATTATCGCTTGGATGATATAAAGAAAACAATGTTTTCTTTGTATCATGGTAATAATCATGGTTGCCACCTGTCCTTATTTGAAAAAGACAGTCCTTTTTTGGAACAAATTGTCCTTTTGACTTTTTTTACCCTAAAAAGTCCTTTTTATTTACGTATTTTCTCTGAAAAAATTATCTACCGCAACCAGCAATATTCCTTTCATCCTAATTTAATTCGCAATCGACAACTTAACCTCTCCCCCCCCCCATCTGCGCGACGGTCCTTTTTCATAGTCCAACGTCCAATTATTTTATGGTTTTACTTGACAAAAAGGTGGCAACACGTACCTATTCTCTGGTGGCAACCCTAGTCCCTTGTAAATCTGTCAGATTTTTTCATCATTAAAATATGTTGCACTTATAGTAACTTTTACCCTCAAAATGTCATTCAAAAAGCTAAACGTCTTGGTAGGAAATTATAATAATTCTAATATTCTTTTAGATACTTTTGGTTCCATCACACCCAGGCTGATACCATGGACGTTTTAGACCCTGACGATCTGGATAAAGCCACAGCGGTATGGGCCGTAGTCTCCTATATAATAGCCGATTTATCTGAGGAATTCCCAAGAGAAAGGGACAATTTTGTACTGGACAACATTAACAAAATACGAACAGACCCTTTGGTCAAACTAGTTCCTAAGAAAATAAATTGAATTTAGATTTTAAAAATATTAAACGATAATTACAGTATTAATGAATGTCTGTTTTTCATTTATTTAATATTTTCTTGTACCTAGTGTTTTAAATTTTATATTGATCCACTTTCAACAGGCAATAACTTTTTTATTTTTAGAGATATAACATTTATTTCAATTAATTGTAAAATGTTAAGATTGTTAAGATTCCATTAAAATAGTTTTAAATTAACTAGACATTTTAAAAATGAGAATAAAACAGGCCTTATCAAAATATATAATTTATTCTCTTCATTAGAAATGTATTTCTATTAGCGTTCTCCGCCGTATCTGGCCCTATTTAAGAAATATTATTTACATATTTACAAGTATATAATATTCTTCGATTATTTATTTAATTTTGCCTTTTTATTGAAAGCCTGTTGCAGATGTTTATTTTTTTTGTTTTCTTTGTCTGATAATTAACCATAGATTATAATTTAGACTCTCGCCTTTTGATTATTTTTTTCTGGACACTGGCCGAATGACCTATATAACTTCAAGCCATTTAAGAGGAAAGAAGAGCTATGTCAAATCTCTGGGTGCCCATGTTTCGAGCCATAAATATAAAAAAGAAGAAAAATATTACTTTGATTCTGTGGTTAGGGTTCTTTTAAAGCCTAAAATACGAAAAAGAAGAAGAATGCCGGTGGCGCCAATGTGGAAAAAGTGAGAAAATTATGAACTAAAGTGTTTTCAGAGTTGCCAAGATATTAGAGAAAGCTTCAAACCAACTTCAAACTAATCTAAATCAATATTTTTTGTAAGTCCAAGATCAATCGAACCGTTACAAAATCATAATAAATCTAATAAATACCTATATAATACAAACTTTGTTTCGGTAGAATAAATAATATATTTTCTTTAAGAGACATCATTATTTATTATTTATTAAACAAAAAATGACCATTCTGTTTTACGTGTTCAATCTGACAACGTTGACGTGCGACATTTTCAGTTAACAGAAATTCCAAAATTCGTTGTAGTTCTTAAAATTTTACTGATTTTTTGATAGAAAAAGTTATTTTTCTGTGCACTATTTGAGTTTATTCTGTTCCTTAAGGCCATTTTAATCTTCTGAAAATGTAAGTACCCATTATTTTGTCTAGTTTCTATAGACTTTTTCACTTAGAATATTGCAAACACATCGTCATTAAAAGCTTATATAGTTTTCCAATTTTCATAATTTTCGTTTTCAGAGTTGAGTATATGGAAATATAGATACGTTTCTTGAACTGTGATGCCTCTATTGTACAATAAAAGTAAAGTTATTTAGAATGTTATTGCTTCATATTTCCAAATATTGAAGTATTTTTTCCGCCATTTTTTTTTGGTTGAAATATTTTAGTTAACAAATTTGCATTGTTTTAATAGGTATAATGCTTTAATTTTTAATTTTCCTTTTTAGGAGTGTTATTACAATGATAATACAGTTCCAGCACCTAAAGAACACCTAAGAGAAGAGACTTTTGATCACCCTTTATATGTATAATTCTGTTTGGCCATTATTCTGGTTCACAAGATTGGATAATTTCTATTATCTGATTAAAAGTAAGTTTATTTTATTATTGAAAAACAATTTTAATAAATTTATTAAATGTTTATTAACAAACTAACCATATTTTTTAAGATACCTATATTTAATCTTAATATGACACAAAAGGAAATGTAATATTATTTATTTATTTTTTATAGATTTTATACAATTCAATACAGTTACAGGGCAGTGCATTTATCCTTTTTGTGAATATTACGAACGATGCATCAGGACTTATAAGTATAAAATATTATTTCTTTTGTGTGAATATATATTTTACTGGTTTTTAATATTCATCGGTAGATTTCATCATTTTTAAGGGAAAAAATTCCAGTAAGTCTCTGAGTTATATTTTTATGGTTCCTTAATTATTATCACATAGAAATTCAGACCAACCCTATTTCTGGGACAACCCTGTTTCTGGGTATTTTTTTTAAAGGTCTGAAACAACTCACACTCTATTTGTCATATGTAAAATACAAATATACAAATACTTTATTGCCGACAAAATGATCTTCCCGATCACAAAGCAACGTCACAGAACAGAGTATATTATCCCATTACAGAGTATATTATCTTAGAACATTAAAACATAGTAATAAATACACAAATATAACAATAATAAAAATTCAACAATATTCAGACAAAGGACATAATTAAAATTTCTTAGCTTCCAAGATTTTCGTAGAATATATCATACTTCCATATGAATTCAAAATGTTATCACAATGTTAAATAACGTTGGACATTAATAGGTATAATTACTTTGTTTTTTTTTTTTTATATGTATTTTAGTATTGTATTGGATCATTGTAGAAATATCTGAACAATTATAAATCGCACAGCACACAAATCTATTGTTGCATAGAAACAATAGGTAATTTTTTAAATTATATTATGATCAAAAATACACGTGGCTACGCTATTTTGCATTTAAATAGAATAAGTAGAAATAAGTAGAATAAATATATATCTAAATAATAAAAATATATGAAATGAACAAAATTCTTACAGCTTTAGTGTATATTAATAAATAATATTTTCTTGCCTTTAGCTGTGTATTTTTTCTAATTTCGAAAAATCGAAAGTAGAGAAAAAATTAAAAAAATAAAAAGTAAAAAGAAAATTGTTTTGCCTGTCGTAAAGGGGGGAACCAAGCTCCACTCCCACAACCGGTTTCTAGGCCTACCCTTCATCAGGTGGGCTGACCAGGGGCTGGTTCTCACCGATACGGCAAGCAAAACTTCTTCTATATCAACAGACGATGTCGTAAAGTGTCGGTGAGATATTAATGCATCTCCCGTCAAAAGATGGTAAAGAGCGTTTTTCGGCCCGCTCAAATATAGCAAGAAATGAACAAAATTCTTACAGCTTTAGTGTATATTAATAAATAATATTTTCTTGCCTTTAGCTGTGTATTTTTTCTAATTTCGAAAAATCGAAAGTAGAGAAAAAATTAAAAAAATAAAAAGTAAAAAGAAAATTGTTTTGCTTGTCGTAAAGGGGGGAACCAAGCTCCACTCCCACAACCGGTTTCTGGGCCTACCCTTCATCAGGTGGGCTGTCCAGGGGCTGGTTCTCACCGATACGGCAAGCAAAACTTCTTCTATATCAACAGACGATGTCATAAAGTGTCGGTGAGATATTAGTGCATCTTCTTACAGCTTTAGTGTATATTAATAAATAATATTTTCTTGCCTTTAGCTGTGTATTTTTTCTAATTTCGAAAAATCGAAAGTAGAGAAAAATTAAAAAAATAAAAAGTAAAAAAGAAAATTGTTTTGCTTGTCGTAAAGGGGGGAACCAAGCTCCACTCCCACAACCGGTTTCTGGGCCTACCCTTCATCAGGTGGGCTGTCCAGGGGCTGGTTCTCACCGATACGGCAAGCAAAACTTCTTCTATATCAATAGACGATGTCGGTGAGATATTAGTGCATCTCCCGTCAAAAGATGGTAAAGAGCGTTTTTCGGCCCGCTCAAATATATGAAATGAACAAAATTCTTACAGCTTTAGTGTATATTAATAAATAATATTTTCTTGCCCTTAGCTGTGTATTTTTTCTAATTTCGAAAATTCGAAAGTAGAGAAAAAATTTAAAAAAATAAAAAGTAAAAAGAAAATTGTTTTGCTTGTGAGCGAGCCGAGCGGGCCGAAAAACGCTCTTTACCATCTTTTGACGGGAGATGCACTAATATCTCACCGACACTTTACGACATCGTCTGTTGATATAGAAGAAGTTTTGCTGCCGTATCGGTGAGAACCAGCCCCTGAACAACACCTGATGAAGGGTAAAACCAGAAACCGGCTAACAGGTGTCAGCTTGGTTCCCCCTTTACAAGTAAACAAAACTGGTTTACTTTTACAATTTTTTCCTACTTTCGATTTTTCGATGAAAAAAAAACTACAGCTAAAACTGAAAAAATATTATTTATTAATAATAAAAATATATATCTAAACTATTTACTTAGATATTAAAAATATGTAGTGAAGATCTAATTGGCAGACCTACATTTTATAGAGCCGATGAACCATAGTGAACTTTAGAAATAAAACTATTAATAATTTCACTATTGAAGTGTAGATAATCTCCATTGACGGACATAGGGAGACCCCATTAACCTTCTTGTAATTTTAATCATTTTTTATGGCCTTATTATCAGCCATGCTGATGGTTCTTTATTCTATAAAAATATCGACGATGTCTGAATAAAATGGCCAATTAATTTCTATTCATTAATCTCTCAAAACCTCTTTCAAGTTTATTTTCTGTACAGGGTGGGTCAAATTCGACGCTTTTAAATGGAAACACCCTTTTCTATAGGAGATAGACGAAAACTAGTATCGGTGTCTGGAGCTCAATTTTCATCAAAAACATGATGGTGAAAACCGCACATCAATATCTGTTACCGTTTCGGAGTTACGGGGTGTTTTTCAAAAATGTGCATTTTTAACAAATCGCTGTCACTTTTTTGTTATGGAAAATTTTGTATTTCTATGAAAACATTTCCAAAGCACCTTTTTACGTAGAATTTAATGGTTTAAGTATAATTTTTTTAAAATTAATAATTTAAGAGTTATGAACAGAAAAATCCATTTTTTATTTGGGACACCCTCTATATTTTTAATTAACTGAAAAGAATTTAAAATTACCTTTCCAAAAATATGGCACACTTGATATTTTGTTATAATCCCCTTCGAAATACAGAATTTTGAAAAATTCGCCACTTTTAACTAGTAGGCTTTGGACCCCTTATTGATGATATGCCCTTAATGGAACTCGAAAACATATTTTTCCACAAGACGACGCATCGCCTCAGAACGCTGAAGTTATCAGCGTTTTTTTGAAGCCAATTTCAAGAATAATTGAATAGCTAACCAAGATCCCAGCCGTTGGCCGTCGAGGCCGCCTGACCTAGTGCCCATGGATCTAATCCTATGGATATATTTGCGGAAGAATAAAGGTTCCTTATTCTTTCGTATAATCTAGACAAGAATTAGAAATACTTAGCAGTTATGAGAGTGTATCTTTCACCCCCACTGAGTTAATGAATTCCGCGAGAAATGTTCAAAAACAGCCCCGTCTGTCCATAGCAGAAGACGGTCGATATGTCGAACACCTGTAGCAAAATCTCATGTCTTGGTTTGCTATTTATTTTTATTGTTATTAGATATAGTTTAAATGTGTTGATGTTGGTTAATTGATGCTCACAGCTAGATTTTTTTTTGCATTACAGCCGGTGCCGTTCAAAGCCTACTTATTTAAAGCGGGCGAATTTTTATATACTCTATATTTCGAAGAGGAATCGAGCAAAATATCAAGTGTGTTATATTTTTGGAAAGGTAATTTTAAGTTATTTTCAATAAATTAAAAATATACAGAGTGCCCCATATAAAAAATCTAATTTTCTGTTGATAATTCTTAAATTATTAATTTTAAAAAATTATACTTAAACTATTAAATTCTACGTAAAAGGTGCTTTGGAAATGTTTTCATAAAAATACAAAATTTTCCATAGCAAAAAAGTTACAACGATTTGTTAAAAATGTATATTTTTGAAAAACACCCCGTAACTTCGAAACGGTAACAGATATCGATATGCGGTTTTCACCATCATGTTTTTGGCAAAAATTGAGCTCCAGACACCGATATTAGTTTTTGTCTATCTCCTATAGAAAAGGGTGTTTCCATTTAAAAGCGTCGAATTTGACCCACCCTGTACAGAGGTTTTAGAGATACCTACTTTTCTAAGAAAAAAACTTTACATGAATGTTTATTCTAAACATTTTAACTTTTGAAATATAGAGTAGTAAAATTTAAAAAAAAAATTCGTGGTAACTCTGATATTATAGATATATCCTTATGAATCATGTCTTCTATATTTACAAACAATTTTATTTTTTTAAAGTCATAAAAGTGTTAGTTTTTGCGATGTAATTGACAATATAAAAAAAATCATTTTAACGCCTAATAAGAAAGGCGAAAATGTATTATTAAACTGACAGAAAGTGTTAAATTCAACGACCGTAACCATAATTTCTTGATAATATATTTATTTACAAGGTATTATTTTTAAATCTTTCTATATTATTTGGTAATCTGTGAACGTTTGAAAAAAATTGGCGCCTGGAGGCACGTAGAGCTGCCCATACAAAAACTGCGACTTTGACTGATTTTGATGTTATTACAAATTTTATAGCAAATAGTATTCCTAATCTTAAAGTCAAAACCGCGTTTCGCTAGCTACTGTAATTTTGGAGTTACGATTTTTTAAAATTTTTAACCCCCTCCCATACCCCCTTACCAACATCCCACCCCCCACCAAAAACTAATGGCCAGATTCTCGGGTGCCACAGTATTTTTGTGCCAAATTTGGTTAAAATCGGTTTAGCGGTTTTTGAGTTATCGTATTACAGACGGACAGACAGACAGACACCATGAAAATAAACACACCGGAAAAGTCTAGGGATATTACAATTTTACCCAGCCATCGTCAGGAATTTTATTATTTGCATTTCTGATATAATAAAATTAAAATAAACAAATAGTTTACAGGACATATTGGAAATAAAAATGCTAAATTTACTGAATTTTTCAAATTTACCTTGATTTTTATTGAACTCAAAAAAATACACACATTTTTTTTATTCTAAACTGTGAATTAAAAAAAAAGATAAAAACCATTTTTACTTAATAAAGGGTATGGCCTCCTCTACTGTTCATTACAGCCCTACATCGTCTCTCCAT